AGTAAAATGAGAAAAGATCGTATTTAAAAAGTCTTAATAAAAAGAAAAAAGAAAAAAGAGTTGATGGCAGTGACTGACCCCTGCCAGCTTCAACACTCATGAGAGCAGAACCTGTACTATGCCAGGACATCACAATAGAGCCAACACCGTTATCACCAGGTATCGGTAAGTAAGCACCAAAATAGTGAGCATGGGAGAACCATCACAATTACCTGTCTGCTGTGTAATAGCATGGAGTGGGGGAGAGCTGCTCTCCTCATAACCCCAGACTGCTCATCAATACTAGGGGCAGGTGAGAGAGCAAGACCTGTGGTCATAAGACCTGGTAGGCGTGCTCCAAGGCTAGTCGTAGGAGACCAACATTCCTGCATCTCTGAAGTTAGCTCATGTTCCTTCTAATACTCCTAAGGTTTTCTCAAGATTGGATCATACTTTATTCTAATAGACAAGACTGAGCTTGAGTTGAATAGCAATTGGTGGCTGATGTGAGGCCAGTCTGGAGGCCAACACTCTAGGGAACTTCCACATTAATTTTCATAGGAGAGGGTCAACCTCTCTCATTCCTTAGTACTCTTCGCTGCCATTTTCTTTTCTTCTGAAAAGAGCAAGTCAGAGTGTGGCTGGGTGTGAACTAATTGGTTCATAGGGGCTTTTTTCTTACTGAATGTGTTAGTGACACCAAGTTTTCCCAACAGGGCTCTACCAGCACAACAAGGAAAAAAATGAGTTCAATACCGTGTCCAAGGTTTCCTTCCCAAGTGGTGTTCCAAGAGTAGGTACAGGTCCCTGTGGTACCTTGGGTAGTTGTTCTCTTCTTAGTGAGTGGCCCAGGGACTGGGTCAGAACTCAATGGACTGCACCATTATCCACCAGGAAAAAGAGAGTTCTGCCACTTACTTTCCCTGTGGTGATGGGTTCCTGGGGACTCATGATATTGATCAATGCCCCCATCAGTTTCATGCTATCAGATTGAGGATATATCATCCTTTTACTCTACATGGTGTGCACTCATTCCTCATTCTTCCAAGGTCCTTTTTTTTTTAATTTGCACAGTGATCCTATTGAAACTGATTTGTTCACCTGGAATACTTTTGTTTTCTGTTGGGCCCCTCAATGAACACAGCCACCCTTATTCTGACCAGTCTCCTGTCCTTCTCTGGGTTTTTACTGTTAAAAACCTGCTAGCTAGTTCTAAAACCTGTGACCTATTCATTCCATTGGACTTTTCTAATTTTTATAACTTCCTGTGAATATCTGTGGTTGACTGAGTGAGAAAAGCAATATTAATAGTCTGCTGTTTCTCTGGGGCATCTGGGTCAATGGGGGTAACCTCCAGTAATCCTCCTGGCAGGAACCCAGCAAGAGATTCCTGATCTCCCCAAATTATCTTAGACACCTTTGAGAGATGAGCTGGCTTTCTAATGACTCTCTCATTCTGGTCAAAAGGGTCTGGGGGTGTGTTTCCAGCGCCCCTGACCTTGGTCAGGAATGGGATACCAGCTTGGTAAAGTTGAGGGAGCATTCACTTGGCTCTTCTTTCTGTGTCTACCCTGCTTACCCTCGGACCTGTTGCAGACTTCTCGCCTTCAGCCATGGTTTGATCTCTCTCCTCAGTGGTAAAAAGGGCACCCAGTGGCTGCGTACAATCGTCCCGTGTGGGTTGATGGGTTAAAAAAAACAGTTCCAGCAGATTGATGAGGGCCTGAAGTGTCTCTGAGAATGGAATAATCTGGGTCTTCCAGTTATGTAAGTCACTGGTTGGAAAAGGAAGATGAACTAGAAAAGGATCTCTGGGCCTTTACTCCCTCCCAGCTCCTTGTCCTGCTGGGAGAGATAAACCATTGGCGATGCCTTTCTTAGGAGAACAGCTTGTATCTGGCTTACATTGTTTGGAGATATTCCAGCACACTTTGATTCTGTGAAGGTGAGGTAGACAGGTCAAGATAGATTCTTGGGACTGCATGTACACAGTTGGGTTCTGGATTGACTGGAGGCAGGGCATGTCTTACATCTTCCTCCACAGGGGCCAGAACAGAGAGTGCAGACATTTTATTTGGGTTTTTGACTCATTGTTTTGGCAACTAAACAGAGACACTTGTTTAAAGCACAACATTTCAGCCAAGGAGAGAGCTCTAGGAGGAGGGAGAGCCTATTATCAATCTCAGGGAACTGGTCAGAGTGGCCAGGGTCCCTGAGAGCACTTGACAGACTCTCTTGGCAGTTTGAGTGTTGACTGACCCTGCATCTGGTCATTCTAGTTCACATGGAGTACAATTTCAGTCACCTCTCAATTCTGTTGTCCACTCCCTGGAACTCCTGGGAGATTTGCAGCATGAAATTCAAAGGAGACTTGGCTGTACTCAGTGTGATTCCCATTTTAGCAACAAATGTTACAAGCACACCAAAAAAACCACAAATCTATCAAACAAAAACACATGACTTAAAAAGACAGACTGTCCACACAGGCTGAGGAGGCCAGACCAACACAGGATTGTGGTGGCCACCTTCATTCCTATGCCACAACCAAGGGTACAGGAGGATGTCTCTGTTCTATCACTGAAGACTGGGTCTCTGATCACGACCGAACTCCTATCTTTCTCTAAATATCCTGAATCCTTGATCACCTTTCCAATTAGTTCAATTTCAAGTGCCTATTTGCCGGAAATGTTTGCTTTCAATTTGTTATCAATTTGCGAAGTTGTGGAGGTCACAGTCCGGTTTTCCCTGGGTGCCCAATTCCACAAACATGCTCCCCCTGACATAAGGTCACTCTCCCTCAGCCTCTAAGAGCCAGTACTTGCCCTCATCCAGGGCTTGTCCCCGACTAGTGACTAATTTATGGCAGCAATGGTTGGGCTTCTCTGGGCCTCCACGTCTGTCTCACTCTTGCCTCTGTATTCCCCATCCCTGAGTCTGCCTCTCCAGGATCTCGCTGCCGTCTCCAAATATTGTAGAGTTCAAGACCACTGGTAAAAAATAAATCCACAGACTTAGTTCAGATTATGATTATTTATTAAAACTGATAGACTGGAGACAGTCTCTAACCCAAATCAGAGCCATGTGATGCGGAACTGAGTGAGGAAGAGAAATTCTGGCATATCTGCATAAGCAAACTAAAGAAGACACAGAGCTATTCTTCTCTGCCAAGCCTGAACAGGCAATGAAACCTCAATATAGTCCTTGAATACCAGCATTAGCAAGTTACAGGAGCCAAGCTTTAACAATTAGGCATATGATAACAAGCAGATGGTTATACCTGCACAGTTCTTGGTGGGGGTCAAGGAGTCAGGGTTACTGGGAACTTCATTCAGGAACTTGAGTCAGAGACAAATGGCTCTTAGGTACCAGGATGGATGTCTAGCACAGAATGAAGTTTCTCTAGCCATCACACCACCATGATAAGAATGGCCAAACAGAGTATCTAAGAGATGTATGCATGTATGTGTGTTTGTGAACATGTGTGCACTGGGTGTTTGGTCAGTTGTCAGTTGTTCTGCAGCTTACACAGCAGTCATGAGACCAGGAACAGATGGAAAGTTACAAAAGGTGACGTGAAGCAAACAGTGCCAGAGAAACCAACCGGGGAAACAGGCGAAGAAGACAAGTGATGCACCGATGTCACTCTTTATTGTCATCATAGCTGAATTAAAATAACCTAGGAAATCACTGAGGGACATTTCTGTCCATGCAGCTGAGAGTATTTCCAGGAAAGAATCACTGAAGCAGGAGATCCACTCTCCACGTGGGCAACACCATCCCTGGGACTGGGGACTAGAAAGCCTGAGCTAAAGAGAAAGGAGAAAGCCAGTTGAGCACAGGTGTTCCTCTAATATGTGTTCTGGCCACTCTGAGGGAGGAAGCTTCTGCACTACATATGCCCACTACCATGAGGCCCCACATTACAATACAGCAGAACAAATAGCCAAGTGTCTATGGAATGGTTCCTCTGAAAATATGAGACAGGATAAATGTTTTTGGGAAGGTATTTTTCCCACAAGGATGAAGAGCTAATTGATACAACATTTCTGATTTACACCATAAGCTCTGGTGTGGTGTGGCATTTCAGAAGAATAAGTAAACTGATGAAGAATGTGTTTAGTCTGAAAAGGACACAGCATCATTTCAGCAACAGTTGCTCCAGAAGCTGCCCTTTCTCCACAGAGTAGTTGACCCATAGTATCTTAGCAGGGGTCACAGTCACACTTCCCCGTTTTCTTTCTGCTTCCCCTTCCTCTATTGTCAAAGAATTTTAATTTATCTAGGAGTAATTGGCCCAACTGGTCAATACAAAACAGACTCTGTGTGTGTGTGTGTGTGTGTGTGTGTATGCATGCTTTTTGATGTGTTTTGGTACTGTGTTTTATTGATTTGAATTTGTTTTGGTTACGTTTTGTACTTTGAGAGTCAGAGACGGAGAGAGATTGGCTGAGTAGGAAAGTGGGTAAGCTGGCTCTGGAAGGAGTGGTGGAGGAAAGGAAAGAATATGATGCAAAATTGTATTCGAGCATTTTGGTCTGTGATCTATTTTTGATGATTTGTATTTATATTGTGATATAAGACTTTCCCATTACCCTTGGCATGTAAACATTCATCTTGTTTCCCCAAAGCATCATCTTGGGAATAATTACTCTTTCTCATGCATCACTGTCATCAATACCCTTGACTGACATATGTGAGTTCATTTTTGAAACTTAAACTCAATCTCTGCTCCAGAGATGACCTCTTTCTCCATACCAGCTTTTATTTCTACAGCTCACTAGGAAGTTGTGAAATAGAGAACCCAAGTTACTCAACTTTGTTTTCCCAAGACCCTGTGGCTATGCTTGTCCCTCAAGATTCCTTATGAAGTTTAGATTCTTAGCCATAGTTCTGAACAAAGCCTTGGGATGTTTACAGGGTGACACTGGAGGAAAGGGCTTTGTTTTGTGACCATCAACGTTGTCACCTACAGAAATCTTGCAGTCCAGGAACATGGAATCTCCACTTAGATAAACTTAATTACTTTTTAAATTGGTTGTGTTTATCAGGAAATAAAGCTTAATTTTTTTCATTGCCTCTAAAAATTTGTAGTTCTTGCATCAGAGAATGGTTTTCTAAGACAGAAATAGGTACACCCAAGCTCCATGAGGCTGATCTCAGGAAAGCATATTTAGGAACAGCCCAGGCCAGGAGAACAGCCTGTACATCTCCATTTAATGTGAGAAAGAGGGCAAGAGTCTCCCCAGGGCCAGCTTGACATCCTTGTTCCTCAGTGTGTAGATGAGGGGGTTCAGGGTTGGGCTGAGGACCGAGTACAGCACTGAGGTCACTTTGCTTCTCTCTGGGCTGTAGCTGGAAGCAGGACTGATGTAGGCACAGAACACAGAGGAGTAGTACACACAGACCACGATGAGGTGGGAGGAGCAGGTAGAGAAGGCCTTCCTCTTGCCCTCAGCAGAACGCATGCGCAGGATGCTGGCGATGATGCAGCCATAGGAGAGTAAGGTGAGGAAGAAGTTGATGCCTCCATAAAAGGCATCTGCTATAAGAGTCATAATGCTATTCACATATGTGGAGCTGCAGGAGAGGAGGAGGAGTGGGGGGATCTCACAGAAGAAGTGGGTGATGATGTTGGGGCCACAGAATGACAGCCGTGTCATTAGACCAGTGTTTATAGATGAATTCAGAGCACAGATGGACCACACACTCAAGGCCAGGGCCCCACACAGACATGGGCTCATCCTAGAGCTGTAGTGCAGGGGATGGCAGATGGCCACATAGCGGTCATAGGCCATGACCGTGAGCAGCAGCAGCTCGGAGGATGCAGACCACACAAGGAAGAAGAGCTGGGTCATGCACCCCTTGAAGGAGATGGTGTTTTCCTTAGACACTAGGCCAAGCAAAGCCTTGGGCAGCACAGAGGAGGTGCAGACAATATCCATGGTGGCCAGGTTGCACAGGAAAAAGTACATGGGACTGTGGAGTCCAGTGCTAGAAGTGACCAAAAAAATGATCACAATGTTGCCTGTGAGAGCCATTGAGTAGAGGGTCAGGAAGCAGCCAATCAGGAGCAGTCTTAGACTAGGGTGCTCTGAGAACCCTTCCAGCACAAACTCTGTCACCATTGTCTGGTTGGGACTCAACATCATGATGGAGTGTATCTGTCCACTGCTGTGCCTGCTCTATTCTGAAGAAGTATCAGTTTACCACTTCAAAGTATGCTTTCCAAACCTGGTCTTCTCAAAATTCTCTGTTGTCAGAAAGGGGAGAAGTGAATGTATTTCCTTCATGGAAGTCATTGTCCCTTATTGTCTGTACCACACCATTTGAAACCAAAGATATTTTATTTACATTGCATTTTCCTCCTAGAAACTTTCCCTGTGTAGATTTGGGTCAAGAGGGTCATCTGTTCCTGCCTCATCTTGAGCACGTGGGTCGAGTGAAGCATCCTCACTCAGGACCTGCCTGTGCTCTACTTCTCTGTACATGAGCACTGCGCTGTGCTGACAGTGCTGGAAACACAGCTGTACCCCTCTCTGCTACAGCAGGTATTTTCGATCTGATGGCAACTTTTGGATGGACACACACTCTTGTACCTTAGTATCCAAGCTACTGGCCTCTCACTCCCTTTCCTCTCTGATATTAGGAATTGAGGCTTTCTTACTCATCTCTAGGTGATAATTTTAATTCCTCATGGCCAAATAACATATATTTTTGAATTTTACGTACTGTGATTTTTTGTTTTTGAAAATATCCTGATTCTCATCCACTGCAAGTATATCACCCCAGAGATCATTTCTCAATATCTGAACTTAGAAACTCCAAGTACTTCTGAAGTTTTCTGTCTCAGAAAAACACAGGGACATCAACATCAACACACCCAGAGCTTAAGTCATTGCATGGTCTACAGACATTCCTGTGTGCTTACAGTGGCCTTATATTGAAAGTTTATCATCATCTTCCCAGTGGTTCAAGATACTTCTTTTTAGAGTGCAGCTCCATCTCTCTGACTCATGGTTTTACCTTTAGTCTATGCCCTCAATAGGTCCTCAGTAGATCCCTGTTCCATGAACCCAGAATGGTGTTCTGTATCTTCTTACCTCCCTCACACAACTGACCCTGAAGCCTGGAGCTATAGTTTACAAAACATTTGTAATTGTTTGTAGTGCTACTTCTCTGGAAATATTCTTTGCTCTGCACCCCTTGCAGTGCCCAAGATCAAAGAACGTTATCCTTCCTGACTGAGCACATTCACGGTATATCAGTCTGTGAAGTGTATAGTGCTTACTAAATCCCGTTCCTATCATCCTCACCACATCCCCACTTAGTCTCTGCCATTCTTTAACACTTTACTTTTAATAGTCACGTTTTATCTCATATATCTTTTCTATAATGTGTCTTCCAACCATTTTTACTTCCATCTAAGGAGGAAATGTTGAAGTTTAAAAATTACATCAGTCTCCATATCACATCAGAGATATTAAAATATTGTATTTACCCTCTGCAACCATGTAGTCAGTGTTATGTCTGACCATGTTTCCGTTGACTTTCAAATTCATTGCACCGGTGAATACCAGTGCATAGTTTGGTATTGTAATTGGTTCAGCAGAAACACAATTCCAAAAACAGTTCCTCAAATGGTCTTGTCAGTTTCTGCATCTGGGTACCTAGTTCAACCATATTTTAAATTTTGAAATACTTCTGAGAGTATTAACAATCTATTGATTATATTAAATCCCAACCCCAGGGTTTGCCTCTCTCAAAATACAGGAAGAGGTAGTTGATAAGACTGACTCAAAACTGAGCTAGAGGGAAAGATTTAAAAATAACTGAACCCTGTAAGAAACATTTGCTGTTAGATTGAGTTCCCCTATTTCCTATATCACATCAATAAAAATCTAATTACATGGACAATAACTCATTTCTGAATGGCATACATGAGAAGAAATGACAGATTAATGTAAATAATAAGATGATTTGAGGACCCAGACCTATGTCCATACATCTATAGACTCACGATTTATTTCCACAAAGGGGGCTGATCAAACTGGAAGTTACACATAAAAGAATTAAACAAGATCCTTATCTCTCACCCTGAATAAAACTAAACTCCAAGTAGGTGAAGAACCTCAGCATAAGACTCACCATTAAAATGACAAAGGAGAAAGTATGGAATATCCTTGAACTCATTGGCACAAGAAAGATCTCTCTGAGTAGGACGATGGTAGCACAGGCATTATATCAATGATTGACAAATGGGGGGCATGAGGCCATAAAGCCCTGCACAGCAATGAACACAATCACAGCAGAAGTTGTTTCTTTAGGTGACTGCCGGTCATGCCATTTCTGATCTGTAGCAGACAGGGAAAGACTACAGGGCTTTTCTGGTGTTTTTAACTCTATGGAGGGTCAAAGTCCACTGTATCTCAACAGTGGACTCTTGACAACAGGGTATCAAAATCTCTCTGTGACATTTTCTCACCATGCTCTGTGAATATCATGGTCAAGCAAAGCAGCATTCAAGTCCTACCTAATCGTCAATATAGATCTTAGATTCAAAATTAGTGTTTGTAAAAGTCAGGTTTGTGATGTAAGGGAGAAAATGGACATCATAAACTATCTATTGTCATTAGAAGATAAATATTCTGTTGTTTGTACAATGGAGCATGAAACCTAATCTTTCTATCATAACCTGTTCTCTGACCCAGCACTCCTTTCTCAAACTCAGGACTCATTGAGAACATGAGTTGATGTCCCTCTGTACTGACTGACATCCAAACACTGAGACAATTGTCACTTTTATATTGAGAAATTTGCTTGGAGTTCCACTGCTAGATGGTAGATTCACATAGTGGAAGATTAGCTGTCACTTACCTCCCATGTCAGAGTGAATTCAGGTGACAGATGGCTCCCACAAAAGTGCACCCTGTTCTGAACACAGACTCTCTTTTTTCTGCAAGCACCAAGTCTTTAGTGGCCCTTTGAAGCTCTGTCTTCTGTTGTGTAGAGGTCATTGGTCTTCAGATATATCTATGTTTTTGTGAGACCAGGGATAAATGTTTGTCCTGGTGCCTCCTGGGATAGAAACTGAAGGGGAAAGCTCTTAGGATCAATTAAGGGGACTCCTGGCCTCGTGACTCAAGTTCCCAGCAGACTGGAGTGGAGGAGAGTGGTCAGGGAAGTCATATCCTATGGGCAGGAGCAGTTCCCATCAATCCCCTCCCTCCACCAACACTCTGTATCCATGTCCTAGAGTGTCATTGGGATTTTCATGTACTGTATAGAAAGTCTCACCCTGATATAATTCAACTCCTTTGTATTCTGTTGAGTGTACTTCCTTTGAATCAGACACACATGCAATAATTTTATTCAAAATATGTGTTATTGTCTAAGCCACACTTCCTCTTCCTATATTTAACCTTTTCAATTATATTGTTAAGAATTGATGTTCCCTTAGTACTTCCATTTTGTTTGCTATATTTTTAAGCATTTAAGATATTTATTAATCTTTGATCCATATGTACTGGTATCATTATAGACTTAACAGGTTGCACTTAGGAATATATTTATATTCGTATACTCATATGAATACAATAACAGTAACAAAAAGGGGGTCACACTTTTGGAAGAGACTATGTAGGATTATAGAGAAGGGTTTGGAAGGAGAAATGGGAGGGGTGTAATGCAAATCAAATTATAATGCTAAAATTTTTAAAAATAAAATTTTACTCAAAGTCTTATGTGATTCAATATTCTCCATAAATGAAAACCTAAATAAAGCCATTATTATTAAAAGTTTAAATTGTAAAAAAATTTTATATAATATATCCTAATCACTGTTTCCCTTCCCTCAACTACTTTCAGATACTCCTCACCTCTCCACTGACCCAATTCCAATGCCTTTTCTTTCTCTTTTGAAAATCAGCAAGCAAGCAAATAAATAAATCCAAACAAGGCATAATAATAAAAAACAGAAGAAACACACAAATATGCACATACACACCCTCAAGATTAACAAAAACACAAATCAGACCATAATATATAAGCAAAAGGTGACCAAGACAAGAACTGCCCCCTCCCATTATAATGAGACAAAACATCCCCCCAAATACAATTGAATTCATTTTCTGTTGATAGCCATGGGACCTGCTATTGAATATGGTTGATATACCCAGTAATATGCCAGTGTATAGAACTAACTAACTCATTTGTAAGCAGTTGTCAATTGGAAATACTTTCTTGGTTAGGCATCAGCGTCTGTGTCCACTTTTTCTTCTTAGTGCTGGGACTCTGTCTGGATTGAGCCTATGCAGTACCCATGCATGCTGCCATAGTTTCTGTGAGTTCATGTCTACACCCGTCCTCTCCTATCTGGAAGATACTGTTTCCTTGGAGCCATTCATCTCCACTGGCTCTTAAACTCTTTATGCCTTCTCTTCCTTATAGATCCATGAGTCCTGCATGGAGAAGTTTGAGGAAGACGTACCATCCAGGACTGAGTGTTTCAAAATATCTTAATCTCAGCACAGTGTCCAGTTGTGTGTCTCTGTGCTAGTTTCTATCCACTGCAAGAAGAAGTTTCTCTGATGATGGATGAGCAAGGCCCTGATCTATGGATATATTAGAATGTAGTTAGGAGTACATTTGTGACTATTTCTTTAACTGACGTATAGTATTTGGTTTCTCCCTAGGCTCATGCCTATTCAATCTCAGGTTGTTGGCCTCTAGAGTAATGTCAGGCATGGGATCCATCTTGCCAAATGGACCTTAAATCCAATCAGGCAAAGGTTGGGTTTTCTTTAATGATTCTTGTTAAATTCTGCTTCCAGGTTTGAAATGTTTTCATTATTTCATTCAACTGTTTGTGTATTCAGTGATGTCATTAATGGATCGATGAGAAGTAGCAGTGCAAACAATTAGCACCTACAATATCACCGAGCCAGAGTGTGGCTGTAGCTGGACCTGGTGAGCACCATGCCTGTTAGACACAGGGACATCTCAGGTAGACTTTCCATGTCAGCAGCAGAGTATCTCATTTTCTTGAGGACTCAAGAGAATTTTAGTGTTCCTGGAGTAGGTGGTGAGTGCCAAGTACCAAGGCTACTTTTTAGAATACTCAACGTGGTCTACATGTTTAATACAAGTCAGCATGAAAGGATAAAACTGGCCATCTAAAACATGGTTAGAAACCTGAAATACCTGAGGATGTAATATTAGAGCATGCGTGAGTGATAATTTGAAAGTTCACACCATAGGCTTCAATAACTATTTAGATAACACAGGTAAGATGAAATGGGATAATTTCTTGATTCATGAAACAGGAACGTCCCAAGAGCCTATTATAGGAAAAGTGTTAAATCATGGGAAATGCTATCATCATTGCTTTGGCGAACTCCAGAGTGAGTCTTTATAGACCAATATAATGTTTTTCTGTGAGGTCTGGCTACCATAGACATTGTCTGCATCTCCTCTGTGCTGCACATGGTTTAATTGGTCTAATTTCCTAGAAAAAAATACCACCTATTTTCATGGATCACCTCTAATTCCTTGTGTGGTTCATATTTTCTGAACTGTTGTTCATGGTCATAGCCTATGATCACTACTTGGACATTTGCTTTCCTCTACGCTATAGCTCCTGTATGAACCAGCACATATGTGGGCACCTAAGATGGTATATGGTCCATCTGTGCCCTAAATTCTTCCATTAATGCTGCTCTAATGACATGGCTAGCATCCTGTGGATGTAAGGACACCCACTTCTTTGTGACCTCCCAGTTCCTACTGCTCTCCTGCAATGCCTCAAGTGTGAAAACTATCATGGCTCTTTCCTGCCTTCTTGCTGTCCAATGGCTATTATCACCAGCAACCAACACATGTGCTAAGCTGAGGGGAAGCAGAAGTCCTTGTCTACCTTCTCATTCCATCTGCCTTAGTTAATGTTTCTATTGCAATGAAGAGACACCATCACTGTGGCAATTCTTATACGGAAAACATTTAATTGGGCTTGGCTTACAGTTTAGTGGTTATCATCAGGGTATGGAGCATGGCAGGCATGATGCTGGCTACATCTTGATCATAGGTCAACTGGAAGTTGATTGAAACATTGGGCAGTATTTTGAGCCCACCCAATAGTGACACACTTCATCCAACCCATTCTAACAAAACCATACCTTCTCATAGTATCACTCCTAATGAAATTGTGGGGGCCAATTATGTACAAACTACCACACCACATTACTGTACTCTCTATTACTTATACAAGTTCTGTGTCTGCTTCCAACTACTATCTAGATAGAAGTTAATCGCCTGCAGTGATGTATGAGATCCTGAGCTGATGTGAGACACCCCTCTGTATGATGTGAATATGTTTTGTTACCATTGGTTAATAAAGAAACTTCTTTGGGCCTATAGCAGAGCACAATATATCCAGGCAGGAAATCTAATATAGAAAGAGTAGGTGGAGTCAGGGAGATGCCATGTAGCTGCTGAAGGAGACAGACAACTACAAAAGGTTCTGGTAAACTCTGAGCCTTGTTGTAAAATATAAAATAATAAAAGTGGGTTAATTCAATATGTAAGAGCTAGCTAGAAATATGCTAGAGTCATTGGTCAAGCAGTGTTTTAATTGATTCTGTGTGATTATTCCGGGTCTGAGTGGCCCGGAACAAACATGCAGCTTCAGCCTACACTGAGCTAAGACTGGACCCCTACACCTATACACTGAAGAACAAGAATGTCAAGGATGCTCTGAAGAGACTCTTATACCCTATTTAATGTTAGTTGAAAATATGTACATTGCTGTTCTGACAGGGTAAGCCTGTCTTTAACTTCTCTTGCTAAATGTCTTTGTGCTTTGTCTTGTCTTTATGCTTTGGCTATGGCCATTATAGAAAATTGCCTTCATACTAAATATCTGTATATGTGCTTTTTGTTCTGTGTTGGTAGTTTTGTTTAGTTGATACTTATCTATGTATGCCAAATAAAAATTAACCCACTCACTGCCACCCCAAGTCCTGACAGGTACTCTTCTTTTATATAGAAAGTCATGTTGCCTTCCCAAAGAGACACAAGACAGCCTTGCTTCTCTGAGTTAAGTTCTTGTTTATCAGCTACTGCATGTATGTGTACATGACTATAACAATCTGAACATTGGTAAATAAATTATCTGTTCTCAATATCTTCTCCATACTTTATATGTGGTCAAGCACTGTTGTTCTGCGGTTCACATGCTACCCCTCAGTCTTCCTTTACTAGGCAAAAGTGTCATGTCACTATGGAATCATTGAGTGCAGAGCCTTGTGGCAGTACAAGGTATAGTGGAGATGATTCCTTACCTTGTAGCAGCTGGGAACAGAGGAATAAAAACTGGTTTCTCCTTTTCCCCTTGTCCCATGCCTCCATGCCCCACTGCCTGTCGAGGTACTGCACACATTGAAGATGATGCACAGCTGTGCAATGAGTCCTCTTTGGAAATAGTTTGCAGATAATCATGGCGGTGTCCCTCAGCAATATTTTTGGAGATCACTCCAGTCAAATTAACAATGACTATATTAACCATCACAACCATAAACCGTTGACACGTTCCTGATTTACCTGCTATTTTCCTACACACTGCTTGATTCATCTGTTAATCATGTTTTTTAACCATCTGCTCTGTATTAGTCACATGACTCTCTAGGATATAGACAAATACCACAATGTATGAAAGGCTCAAGGTATACATGCTCACACTTCTCACTGTCAAGAAAAGTCCTCTTAAAACGTTTTAAATGCCATATTCCATAGGTCTTTGAAGTGTTTAAGATTATCTATCGAACTGTAATATATTTCTGCATATCTAGAAAACCTAACCACATGACTAAGAGTTTGATTATTATAAATGACTCATCTATTAATCTATATTTCTTAATTATATGTTACAGTTTTAAATAAGCTGCACAAGCACAATTCCTTAAACAAGAGCAGAAATACATATACATAGTATAACAAAATCGACCTTAAATTTGTATCAGTATACCAAGACCCATACCAATGTAAAGTATTCATTTCTGTATGATATCCCCCTCTAAATGAAAACAAACATTTATAAACAATCATTTTGGAATTTAGATGTTGTTTTCTCCAAATTGCTTCCTGCTGTTTCTGGAGGTGAAGTATTTTTAGGGTTCACAGAGACCTTTCAGGGGATTTGTTCCTTCAAACCATATTAGCGTGGAAGGAATCCATAGGTTCTCATCTTCAGTGGAAACAAAAGGAGAACCTCTTTTCCAAAGTAACATACCTTAGACTCAAATTTTGAAGTCAATATAACTTTAAAATTCATATGCTGGTTTAGCTTAGCAGCCCCTGGGATCAAATGTCTCTGTGCAGTTGAAAATTTTAAAGAAAATCTAATAGTATACATAATCCAGAGTCTCTGCATATTTTCATCTTTACGTGGCTTTTCTCTATAAATTTTTAATATTTATTGTCTTTACTCTGTCAATCTATGTACTGTCTCTTTAAAAACTTTGTTTTATTTTTTAAAACTATTTACTTCTTTTTGTAACTGTTGATACTCTTTGTTTTTTCTCTCTCTCCCAAGCCTACGTATATTTTTAAATGCACTGTGACTTATTCAGATGTTTATTTTTGTCTGAGAAAAGATAGTCAGTTACTACCTAGATGCAGAGGAAGCAAGATAAGAATGCCTCACTGATGAAAGGAACCAAGATACGTGGTTAAACATAGATAAGAATTATAACAATTATGAGATAATTTATGTGGCAAAAGCTAGTTAATAATGAGCCTGAGCTAAGAGGACAGTTTATAGTTAATATAAACCTCTGTGTGTTTCTTTGGGACTGAAAGACCGGGTGGGACTGAAGCTTCCATTTTCAAAGGCTCTCAGAGTCAGCCCATAACTCAGATGCTCTGTGAGGATTTTCTTCCCTCAAACTGGGGATGAACCAAGCACCAGGGAAAGCTGTGATATAAGAGTAAGAAAGATGAAAACTATAAAAATAAAACAGGCAAATGCCAAGAACAAGTGTGGGCAGAGTTCATTATTCTCTGTCTCTTTAGCCATTCACTCTTGGCCCTACAGAGTATCAAAAATTATCAAGTGAGGTTCATGAAAAGACTAAAGATTTACCTAGATTTGATTCAATGAATTATAGAAATACTTTAACATTTAATAACATTGAACTTATAAGCATATTTTTCTATGAACAAACTAGAAATGGTTAAAGTTATCTAAAACATTTGAAAGACTAGAAATCAGTATTATCTGGTAGAAAGTATTGTATTTCTTAGCTCAGGTCATAACTTGACCTGTATCCCCCAGAACCAGGAGATGCCTAAATAAAGGCTTAAATGAGCTTTCATACTCCTTGACCACTTCTTCCAGAGTTCCTTTTGAAGCTCAAAGTAGTCAATGTCGAAACTGAAGTTTTTTAAAGGATGTTTTGAATTCCTTGTTTCTCAGGGTATAAATCAGGGGGTTCAAAGTTGGAGTCACAGTGGTGTACAGAGCAGTAATAGCCTTGTCCAACACACCAGCAGTTCCTAGGGCTGGCCGGACGTAAGTGTATAGTACAGTGGAGTAATAAAGGGTGACCACAATCAGGTGGGCAGAGCAGGTGGAAAAGGCATGCTTCTTGCCTTCAGCTGAGCGGATGCGCAGGATGCTGGCAATGATGAAGCCATAGGATGTCATGGTCAAGAGGAAGTTCAAGCCAGACAAAAACATGTCTGCAATGACAGTCATGATGTCGTTGATAAAGGTGGGGCTGCAGGACAGCATGAGCACAGAAGGGATCTCACAGAAGAAGTGTTTGATGAGATTGGGACCACAGAAGGACAGTGGCAACACTAGACAAGTGAGCACCAAGGCATTGAGAGCCCCTGTAAACCACACAAAGGTTGCAAGGGCCACACAGACCCTGCCACTCATGAGGGTTCCATAGTGCAATGGCTGGCAGATTGCAAGATAGCGGTCATAGGCCATAGCAGAGAAGAGCAGAAGCTCAGAGCTCAGGACCCAAGTGAAGATGAACATCTGTATGAGACATCCCCCATAAGATATGGTGTTCTCGGTCACCAGGCTCTGCAGAACCTTGGGTAGGACAGTCACAGTGCAGATCACATCCATCAGGGCAAGGTTAACTAGGAAGAAATACATGGGTGTGTGGAGGCTGGGACTTCTGTGGATGACTGTGATAATCAGGCCATTGCCAACTATGGCCACCATGAACAAGGTAAAGAAGAAGCAGAAGAGAGCATCCTGGATCCAGGGGTCATCCATGAAGCTTTGTAGGATGAACATAGTCACAACTGACTGGTTCTTAGGAGCCATGGATAACACTGTATGCCCAGGATGGGAGTTGTAGCTTGGGGCTCTGACAAAAGAAGAATGAGCTTTATTCCAGTTAACTGAAAAATATTTAAATCTCAGTTAACAATCAATTCTGTGTAATAAGGAACCTATTCTGGTAAGAAAGCAATATTTAAATTTCATTCTCATGGATCACACGTTAAAGTAATGAGCAGGTCAAGAACACACCACACATGGGCTCTGCTATGAATATGGGTGGACCCTGAATGCAAGGTCCCTGAACAAATTGTTCCATATATGCTGTATCTCATCCCACAAGGAGGGAGAAATGGCCATGGTCACATGAATCATTAAGCCCACAGTGACTGGTGATTGTGGTGTGGGTTCTGGGAAGACATGAGTTATCATCATCAGTGGGGCTGTGAAAGGGTGCAGTGGCAGAGAGAACAGTTTCCTCTGGTGCTGGCTGCTTGCCTGAGATTGTGGGTAATAACATACAGAAGATTCACTGAGTGGCTGATTCTCTGGAGACAGAACCAATGTGGTCTTTGTGACAATGTGGACTTATGCAGCTGACAACAATGACCCCAGAACTTCCTATCTTGGAACTCTATTCCACTAGAACACTAAAGAACACTAATCTAGGGCATAGCATTCAAGACTCATATTCAAGCTGATGCAAAAAAAAAAAATAGGGTCTCCTAAGGATTCTAGGATGTCTCTCAACTTTAGGCCATAGGAACTCAATTGGTCCCAGACGCAGTTCTTGCAAGGCAGCTCAGAGAGCCATCTGAAGGAACCAAACCATCCCTGTAGGACTTCATATTGCCAGTCACTGTCCAGAACACACAGACCCTGGATGATGAGAACACAGGTCTCTGTTGAGAAGACACGAGTTGTGGCAACCCAGACTGGGTCCTGCTGGACTATGTGTGTCCTGGTCACTTGACACTTCCTACTACCAGACTCTGCCAATTTGGGCATAGTGAAAGGAACATCCCTGAGTGTGAGTTATGAATCAGAAGCTAAGGTCAGACGGACAGTGACAGGGACAGGACATTCCCCTGTGGTCTGCTACATAGAATGCACACAGTGTGGCAGGCTGCTCTCGTCCAACAATCACATCTAGTGTGAAAACACAAGTCAAGTTTCACAGCAGAGTATTTCACATGTTTCCAGAGTTGAGTTGCTCTAAAACAAAACAGTCCTGGACGTTCATTTACTGGCATTCCCCACCACTAAGCATCACCCCCGTTTCTCCATCTCACAGTGCTCCAGAGGGGTTTGCAAGGAGAGGGGTGTGGGAGACCATGCTGTCTGTGCTGGCTTTGGCCCCATCTTAAACCCAGCAAATCACTCTCAATGTGATGATGGCATAGTCTGGGCAAGAAAGCTTGCCAAACTTCAACCAGGGTCAATCTTTATTCTGTTCTCACAGGACATCAGATCAGGCTGCACACAAAGAGTGGACACTCTGTTTCACAAAGAGCTCTTGTAGTCACTGGGCAGTGGCTGGCCTGTGTACATGGTGTCACTGAACACTAGAATAACAGACCTGGCTGCCACATTTAGCAGATGAAATACAGGAGGCTAAGATTTAGAAGATGAAATACAGGAAGTTGAGATATATAAGAACACACTTTTTAAAACATATCTCAAATACTGCCCAGGAAATCCCAATTCTAAATAGTATTTGTTACTAATATAAAATGCAATGTGATCTGGACTTACTCTTTTATTTATTTGTTTGTTTTTCATCACCAATATATTATTGTTTTATTTTTCACCCCTCTAGTCCATACATCCCCTACCGTATGTGTCTGTGGGTCCGGCAGCAATTGAAGATGCCTCTGTGTCAGCATTTATACCTCTGAGAGATGAAACACCATGTCAAACATGTGAGAATATGCTCCCTGCCCCACGCTGACCTCCTATATCTGCCCTATAGTACAAAGGAGGCAGGAGCAGCTTGCTGTCTGTGTTGCCCAGGCAGCCTGAGATGATAAGAAAACAGTGAATCCAGGGTCAGTCCTCCTCCCGGGGAAAGTGAAGTGATTCTGCAGGTCATCCCGACTGGGATGAGGGTGCAGTGTCCATGAGTCACAGGTGCCCCAGAGAGGCTAAGGAGATTGATGCAGGAACTCCTGCTGGAGTCTACCCACGAACATCCCAATCACCCCTCATCCTCTCTCTACTTCCCATTTGAGGAACTGAGACTTACTTACTCCAAATTTTCAAGTAGCATGTTCCTACCGTGTCTCTGTGTAGTTGTGAGCAACACATATGAAATCTACATGGGGAGAAAATATCTCTGTTTTCAAAAGTCTGGCAAAGTACATGAGTATGAAACCTACCTGTATGTTCGCAGGCATGGGGCTGGGTATCCAGCCAAGTGTGTGGAAAGAAAACTGCAGAGAGAGAGAGAGAGAGAGAGAGAGAGAGAGAGAGAGAGAGAGAGAGAGAGAGAGCAAATTACTATTACCCATTATCCAGTCCTTTATCTCACTTCTCTGTGGTAGTTGTTTCTGAACCTGTTGATTTTCCTCTGTGGATGTCAGAAACATTCACAGGTACACATTTATGTTCTTCTGACATCAGAGACCCTGTGGCTCCAAGCCCACCCCTGGACTATATAAATACATCTCCTGGTGAGCTGACAGGAAAGAAAAGACATAGCTGACTTAAGTGGCCATACACATTAGGAGTTGTTGAAATGAAGGATATTTTCCAGATGAGTCCTAAGACTTTGCCATAGTGTTGGTGACTCCTGCCCATAGAGATGTCCCTGGACCCTACAGAAAATTATTAGCTAGGTCATGTACTCACCAGAACATTTGGGCTTCAGAGATGCTTTGGTCCCGAAAAGTACAGTGGTGTGTTAGTTTCAGATAATCCAGGCTTAAATCTAGGTAGCTTTGGCTGAGTGATGCAATTCAAGGCAGTCTTGCCCCCATGGGAACCCTACCCCAGGGCCCTGGCTGAAGTGGCCTTGCAACTATCTGTCAGGTCAACAGTGGGAAGTGTCAGCAAAGAGGAGCTTAGCCCCAAGGGCAGAAGGAAAAGGCAGTTTCTTTTTTTTCCATGACAGGAACTCAGATGCTTTCCCAATTGGAGCTCACTTCTTTACACCCAAGTCTCAGCTAAAAGCACAGCAAAGAAGCACTCAGGGTTAGATGTTCACTGGCTTAAGTTCACGAGGAAAGGATCTCAGATTTCTCTAGCTTCATGGGCCATCATTACCTCCGTTTGATGTTTTGATGACCAATTTTGTGTGGAAAGGGACAATCTACATATTGTATCCTGACCTTGACTGACAGAGATTGAGTATCCATGTGAGCTGGGGAAGACAGGAGTCTAAGATACAAGAGCGTTATGTAGCATGCCTCAGCTCCTCCCAAGCAGTGGGAAGTTGAATATTAATCAGACTGCTTCTATGAAAGCCTAGTTCCTCAAAAAAGTGCCAGCCATGTGTCCTCAAATGAATTCACGTCTCCGATGTATATTCTCACACTTGCTCTCCAAGTCAAAGGTTTTGGGATGTCAGATGTCTTCAGTTTCACTATGTACAGAAACATAATACAGTTAAAAATGGCATCCTTAGTCTGGGAATGTTTTTATGTATATTTAAAATTCAGAAGTAGTATAAACATTTTTGTTTTAATTTGTAATGTCTATGCTCCTTCATGTTTATCACAAACACACACACACACAAAATCACAGATACACATTTTAGGACAGAAATTTGACCTTTTTTTTCATTCTTAGTTCCTCCTGTTGGATGTTGCCAAAAAATTATTGTAGTCTAAAATGCTTGCAGTCAGTAATAGCATTTCAAAACAAGTCTAGACTTATAGTGGAGCTGACAAAGAACTACACCTTTTATCTAGTGTCTTCTCATCCCTTTATGTCATCCACAGACAGTATAAAATCCTCTGTCTGGGACCCACAGAGCCACAAGAGGCTAGGAATAGGTCAGTACTTCTCACTCTTCTTCCTGACCCCCATTCCAAACTCTCCAGTCACATTCCAACCGTATAGCAGCCTGGGTGAAGGGGTCTCTCCTCCCACTCCACACCCAACCCTAGGGGACTTCACCAAGCCTTGGATTGACTTGTAGACCCTCTCTTCTGCCTTCCTCTGCACCTAGCCCATCCCCATTCCTTCCTGTCAAATTCTTTCAGAAATGATTTCAACTGGACTCCCAGTGGTCACACCTGTTAGGGATGATGGTAGGTGAGCCACACTATCCTTCCTGCCCTCAATTATGATATTTCCATTCTTGTAGGGCATTTTATTTGTATTTTAATAAGTAACATTTGCCTGAAGACCAGGGAGTAAAAGAGCACCACTGGTCAACCTGACAGACCAGACAGTGGTAACACACACCTTTAATGGCAGTAGCCACACTAGATGTTATAGAAACAAGGCAGTGCATGCCTTTAATCCCAGTGGTGAGTACATTTATTTATTTATTTATTTATTTATTTATTTATTTCCCTAGAACTAGAGAGGAGTTTAAGATGGGAGGAGACAACTCTTAGACTTAGTCATTCTGAGATTACTGGAGGCAGGATCACCATTTTGGACTGAATTTGAGGCAAGAGCCAGTGGCTGGTTTCTTTGCTTTTTGGATCTTCATGTTGAACCCCAATTTTTATCTCTGAAATTTTATTAATCATGCTTCATATTCTCACGCACACGCAGTAACAACCTGCTTACAGGGCCTGTGCTGGGGCTTCAGTTATATTCACTGGAGGCTTCAACTGTTGCTTCAGATACAGGGTCCCCTAATGTCTCCGTCTATCCAGATAATTTTTTGTTTAACACTAGCCTAGTTCAAGAATACCCCCTTTCTACCATATTTCCAACTCCATATGGAGGCCAATTATAGGTGTAAACAGGATCCCCTTTAGTTTTGAAACCCAGTTCAGCCTTTTCTCCATGGCCACATCTATCCCACTCTGATATGCAGTCACATAAACAAGAGCTCTGTACTGGGCAACTCACATTCACCAGACTTTTACAAGATCCAGAGGAAACAACAGAAACTGGGGAATGGAACACCCACCCAACAAAGACAAAACCAGATACCAACACCTTTCACTTCAGACATCCCATTCCAGATGCCTAGACACCAGCACAAAACCACAAATACCTAAAGTCAAGACAAGGATGCTTCCATAAGAACCCAGTATCCCAACTACATCAGACCCCAAGATATGTAATATAGTTGAAGTGCAAAAAAGGACTCAAAAATGATTGTGAATATGTTCAAGAACCTTAAATAGTATGTGAGTATATTCTTTATTGGAGTCTGAAAACACAATGGTAGAATGAATATATTTACAACAATTCAGGACATGAAAGAGGGATTTAACAAAGCAAAACAAACAAACAAACAACAGAATCACTAAAGAAAATCCAAACTAGCCATGAAGTGGTGGTGCATCCCTTAATCCCAGCACTCCATAAGCAGAGGAAGGAGAATCTCCATCACTTCAAGGTCAGTCTGGTCTATAAGAGCTAGTTTGAGGAGAAGATCCAAAGCTACAGTGAAACCCTGTCTAAAAAACAAAGAACAGATGAACAAAAACAAGAAAGAAAAAAGAAAAACAAAACCCAAACTGAGATAAAACTGGAAATAAAATGTTTAAGAAGTGAAACATCAAAACCTCAGAAGACAAACTCACCAATATAGTACTAGACTTGGAAGAGAGAATCTCAAAAGTTGAAGATATGATACAAGAATGGATATTAAAGACAAAGAAAATGTGAAATCTGGAAAATTCCTGAAACAAACCATCCAGGAAATCTGAGACACTATGAAAAGACTAAATATATGAACACTTGGGATATAAAGAGAAGAGCCTCAGGCAAAAATCAGAAAATATTTTCAAAAAAAATTACTTAACCTAAAGAAGGAGGTGCCTTTCAAAGTATAACAAACACACAGAATATCAAATAGACAGGGAAAAAAAAGAAATTATCCGTGACACATGATAATCAAATTCTAAATGTACAAAGGAAGAATATTAAAAGCTATAAAGGGAGAGAGTAAGTAACATATAAAGGCATGCCCATTAGAATAACACCTAACATATAAAGTCATGCCCATTAGAATAACACCTGACTTCTTTTTTGTTGTTGTTGTTGTTGTTTTTGAGACAGAGTTACTCTGTGGAACTTTGGCTGTCCTGGAACTCAGTCTCTAGAACAGGCTGGAGTCTACCTCCCAAGTCCTGGGATTATAGATCTGTGTCACTACTTCCCGGCAGCACCAGACCTCTTAATGGAGACTCTAATGGCCAGAAGGATCTGGACAGATGTTCTACAAACTCTAAGAAATCACTTATGCCCATCCAGATTTGTAAAAAGTCGAGATGATGTAGGTGGATTTACAACAGAGTGGCGCTAAGGTGGCCAATTAAATCCAATTAAAAACCTGAGAGGGCTTAAAAAAAGGGAAAGAGAGTTTAACACAGCTTTTTGCTGTTTGCTAGGATGTGCTGTAGAGAGATTTCCTGTTTAGCAATAGCGGCAGAAAAAAAAAAGCTGCGCCATTTTAAAACGCAGCTTCCTGGGCTGTGCCGCCTGTGCAAACTCCAGCTATGGAGCATTTGTGGGCTGGATGTTGGTGTAGCCGCTCGGGATCGGGAAGAAAGTACTGAGACCATGCCAATGGTTCGCTGCTCCCCGCCTGCACCTGGGCAGGCGGCGGGATCAGGTTTACTAGGTGTGCACAAGCGGGAGAGCGTGGCGGATTTCTGCCGCCATACAGAGAGATGTTTCCAGACTGCACAGTGCTCTGCCTGGCAGATTTGGATGTAACTCAGACAAAAAGCTCATTCTCAAGAGTTAAAGTGCTAAGTGTGACTCCTACCTGGAGGCAAAAAAAGCCATGCAGTTTTAAAATGCTGGCTTTCTGGGCTATGCTCCTAGCGCAACCTCTGTCTCTTGAGGGAGACAGAGAATTGGATGGGGTTTTATGAGTAAAATGCTTGCTTGCTTGATGGCAATATGGACTTGCTGTGTGCCTGGAACTGTGTGCTGCTCAGGGGCACCAAATGGATCTGAGGCAGGAGGGGCTCTGGCTCCACTCTGCCATGCTAACCTGTGCTGAGCTTAGGCAGGAACTATGGTAATTATCATAATAACAGTATAGTTAAGGTTTAGACTGGGCAGAAAACAGGAGATACCATACTGTATTACCCTTACATGGTGCAAGTTAAGTTTTTAAGAAGTGCTTAGCATTTTAAGAAGATCTCCTGGACAGTAAAATAGTTACAGGCAATGCAATAGGACAGATTCAGACATAAAAGACCTCTAAATGTGTCAGTGTTGGATGAGTGTATGTAGGCTTGGGAGAGAGAAGAAAAAGAATATAGAGAATAAAGTTAATGCCTTAAAAGAAGGGTAAAGTCTTTAAAGAGACAGAGTGCAGATAGTTATAGATTAAAAGAAATAAAGAAAAATAAACCACATAAAAATGGAAAATTCACAGAAAGTTTGGATTCTGTATTTTCTTTCAATTTTTTGACTGTGAAGGAGCTAAATACAGAGAGACACTTCATTGTGTGGTCTGATAAGCTGATCCAACATGTATGTTCTAAAGGTATCATGACTTCCAAATTTGGGTCTAAGGATATAATGTTTTGGAGAGGGTCTTCTTTTGTTTTCACAGAGGATGAGACCCTGTGGATTGCTTCTATTCCAATATGGTATGATAGACCATGCTCTCCTGAAAGATCACCATGAACACCTTCAGAAAATTACTTCACTCACTGCCAAGTGAAATGAACCTAGCAGACAGGTTATAACCTTGAAAGACCTAAATAACAGCGCCCCCCAGTCAGCACGAAGCAGTTTGGAGAAAAATAACTGCACCCATATTCCTAAATATTGTTTATAAATGTTCTTTTACATTTAAAGGGGATATGATATAGATATGAATAATTTACATTGGTATAGATTTTGCTTTATTGATTTAAGGTTAATTTTGTTATATGTATATGTATTTCTGATATTGATTAAGGTATTGTGATTGTATAGTTCATTTAAAAATGTAATGTATAATTAGATTATTAGAAATGGGTTAGCCAAAATGTGAGAGTTAGCCAATAAGAGGCTAGAGCTAATGGGCCATGCAGTGTTTAAATAAATATAATTTGTGTGTTGTTATTTCGGGTGTAAAGCTAGCCATCCGGGAGCTGGGCAGGATGAAAAGCAGGCCTGCCCACAGCTCCCACTTCATGGATAAATCTCACACTAGAGACTTAATAGCACACCTGAAAGCTCTAGGAAAAAAAGAAGCAAACTCAGCCATGAGGAGCAGATGACAGAAAATAATTAAATTGAGGACTGAAATCAATAAAATAGAAACAAAGAAAACAATACAAAGAATCCATGAAACAAATACCTGGTTCTTTGAGAAAATCAACAAGATAGACAAACCTTTACCCAAAATAATCAAAAGGCAAAGAGAGAACATCCAAATTAACAAAATCAGAAATAAAAAGTTGGACATTACAACAAACACTGAGGAAATCCAGAGAATCATTAGGCTATACTACAAAAACCTGTGCACTGCAAAACAGGAAAATGTAAACGAACTGGACAATTTTCTGGAGAGGTACCACATACCAAAATAAAGTCAAAACTAGGCGAACAATTTAAATAGACCTATAACCTGTAAGGAAATAGGAGCAGTCGTCAAAAGCCTCCCAACCAAAAAAAGTCTAGAAAAGATAGTTTCAGTGAAGAATTCTAATTCTTCAGTGAATTCAGTGAAGAATAGCTAATACCTATATTCCTCAAAGTGTTCCATATAATAGAAACAGAAGAAACTTTGCCAACCTCTTTTTATTAGGCTACAAAGATTCTGATACTGAAAACACACAAAGACCCAACCAAGAAGGAGAACTATAGACTAATCTTATCAAATGAATATAGATGCAAAAATACTCGATAAAATACTGACAAACCGAATCCAAGAACACATCAAAAATTTATTCACCATGATCAAGTCACCATGATCAACCATTCCAGGGATGCAGGGATGGTTCAACATACAAAAATTTATCAGTGTAATCCACCATATAAATAAACTGAAAGAAAAAACTCTTATGATCATCTCATTAGATGCTGAAAAGGCATTCGATAAAATCCAACACCCCTTCATGATAAAGGTCTTGGAGATATCCGTGATAAAAGGAACATATATAAAGATAATAAAAGAAATATACAGCAAGCTGTTAGCCAACATCAAATTAAATGGAGAGAAACTCAAAGTAATTCCACCAAAATCAGGAACAAGACAAGGTTGACCACTCTCTCCATATCTATTCAACATAGTTCTTGAAGTTCTGGCTAGAGAAAATTGAAAAGAAAAACATTGAACTTAGCTATTTGTAGATGATATGATAGTATACATAAGTGACACCAAAAATTCTACTAGGGACCTCCTACATTTGCTAATTGACATCAGTAATGTGGCACTTGAGTCTCTGATTCTTGTGTCTCTTCTTGGGTCTTTGTGAGCCCCTAAGAGCACTGCTCAGTTGATTCTGTAGGTCATGTTCTACTGGTATTCTTTACCCCTATGGTTCCTACAAATCTTCATCTCCCTCTTCCTTTGTGTTCCCTGAGCTACAAAGGGAAGGACCTGATGGAGATCTCTCAGTTGGGCTCTCTCTCTGCCCAATATTCAGCTGTGGATCTCAGCATCTGTTCTCATCAACTGGCAATGGAAGCCTCTCTCTAATGACATCATATCACATCATGTCCTCCAGGAATTGCTTAAATCTTGAGTACTGCTAAGACTGTTGAATCTGCTGTTATGCTGAGGGATTTAGAATGTGTATATTGACAGAGATCAAGGGCTTTAAAGGATTTGTAACTAAAGGTGGCCAGTGGTCATTTGGTTTGTGAAGTATGAACATTTTAGCTCCTTTGGATTTTTTTGTAAAGGAAGATGCTGAATAGGTTACTTCATGCACTGCTCTATGACTGCAAGAGATGATTCACCCTCCTGCTGTGGGACTTCTGACTCTGCAGGGAAGCCAATCTGCTGCTAAGAACTCAGGTGCCTTGTTATCTACACCCAGTGCACAGAACATGGTGGAACTGAAGTCCTGTTTACTGATGCTGATCTTCATCTCCACAGACTTCACACACTCTGTCCTCATGAGAGGGTTTGAACACTGCAATGAAAAGATGCATACACTCGTGACCAACCTCAACTGTGATGTCCCGTATTGAACCAACCACATTCCCCATGCAATGAATGAGAGAGGTCCTTACTGAATTTCCCTATACGATGATGGACCAATCAGTATTGGTTTATTGATAGAACTATGTCACACCAAGATTATATAGTTAGGTGAGGTAAGCCCATAGACTATGCTTGGAATTGTATGTTAACGTGAAATCCATCTTCTTACATGAATCAAAAGGACATAACTCTCAGCCATGCTGTCCTGAGAACATCCCCATGGTAGAAGTCACAGAAACGTCAGTGTCTTAGACCTGTGCATATGGCCTCAGGTGCCTACTTTACCTGTGCCTTAGAGTTCTGGTGCCTTAGCTTATGGCCCCAACAGGGACTCCTGTTTACCTCAGAGTGGGTAATTGCTCTCTGAGGGCCACTCCCTAGCAATCTCAATCTCCACACCAAGGAGCAGGCCCTACTTTAAGGTCAACAGCAAACAAAAGAAACACAGGACTCTCACCCTGTGGCCACACTGCATGTTCTCCACGACATAACAGACATCTTGGACTTAGAAGGACACTCAGGGGCAACATCTCTTTCCATGTGAGCTGATCCTTCCTCTACTCACACCTTTCCTATGGGCATCTACCTTCTCTGCTTCTCCCCCCCCCCCCGTGTGTGTGTGTTTGAGTATTCACAAAAGATATTTGGTTTTGTTTACCTATTTCAATATTTAAAAAACTGTTATCAGAGTCACTTTCCTTCACAGTTTCAGTTCGGAACTAAGAGCTTGCCCTCTGTGAGACTGCTTTGGGACGTATCTGAGCCATTGATCCATGCAGAACAGAAAACTTGCCCTGTGACTTGGTTCTGAGGCATCCCTAGATCTCTGAGAGGCATGGTGCTTTCCTGTGAATCTGGTGCAGAGCTCAGGGCTCAAAGACACCCTATATTGTGAGAAATGATGTCATCATGTTAATTATGTGCTTTCTGCAACAACAGCACCCATCACAAGAATTTCTACTCACACCTGGCTGCACCCTTAGTGAGATGATAGACACTCTACACCCTGCGTCTCCTTGACCATACCCACCTGTGTCACATTAACTCCCAGAAGCTCAGTCTCAAAAACAATGAACAACTATACGGATGTGGCAGAGTTCGTCCTGCAGGGAGTCTCTGGGGATCCTTGGTTCCAGGCTTCTTTCTTGGCCTTTTTCTCCATTTTCTATACTATGGCTGTTACAGGAAACACCCTCATTTTCATGGCCATCAGCCTGAACCCAAGTCTTCACACCCCCATGTACTTCTTCCTTGCAAACCTGGCTCTGATGGACATTGCCTGTACATCCACTGTTCTTCCCAAAATGTTGGAAGGTCTGGTGGGGAAAGGCAGCCACATCTCTTATAAGGGATGCTTGACCCAGATTTTCTTCCTATCCTGGGTTCTGGGGGCTGAGCTGCTGCTGCTCACAACCATGGCCTATGACCGCTATGTGGCCATCTGTCGCCCACTGCACTACAGCATGCTGATGAGTCGGCCCATCTGTGTCCTGCTGGCGGGCAGTGTGTGGGCCATCAGTGCAATCAACTCATCTGTGCATACTGGTCTGTTAGTACGACTCCATTTCTGTGGCCCCAACCAAATCCGCCACTTTTTTTGTGAAATCCCAGCACTGCTACTGCTGTCTTGCAGCCCGACCACCCTCAACAACATCATGGCTATCATTGCTGATGTTTATTTTGGTGTGATCAACTTCCTGTTTACCATGGTATCCTACAGCTTCATCATCGCCAGCATCCTACGCATCCGCTCTGCCGAGGGTAAGAGGCGCGCTTTCTCCACCTGCTCTGCCCATCTGGTGGTGGTCACCTTGTATTACTCCACTATCATCTATGCCTATGTGCAGCCTGGATCTGGATCCTCCATGGAAAATAGCAAGGTGGCTGCCTTATTGTACACAGCAGTCAGCCCTACTCTGAATCCCCTCATTTACTCTCTGAGGAATAAAGATGTCAAAGTGGCCCTCAGAAAGGTGTTTCCCCGCATCTGTTGAGGAGATAGAAAACACTGGTGTGGCTTGATCCAGCTGTTGATGAACTAGTTGGAACCTATGACTAAGAATCTGATTCCATGGGAAGGAACAGAGTGAAATTTCTGTGACAGATGTATTCACAATGTGCCTGTCTTGGAGGAGCCACTGGTCATTTCTTTTTGTTAGCTTGAGCATCCAGGTTTGGGACAAACTGAATGTTTGTAGTCTGGTGTCACTGATGTAGGGATTTTGGGATCCTATGTTGGTGAAACTCATCCAGACCCTGATTTAACTTCAGAAGAACTGTGTCTGGTTGGGGGAGAACGTAGAGTGGGGGGGGAGGAGAAAGGAAGAAGGGTAGGGGCAAGGAGAACTTGAGGGAATGGTATGGTTAAGATGGAGGGAGGACAGCGATGGAAGCATGGAAAGAGATATCTTGATTGAGCGAGCCATTATGGGGCTGGCAAGAGACCAGGAATTGTAGAGACTCCTAGGAGTCCACAAGGATGACCCCTGCTAAGAACCTAAGAAATAGAGGAGAGAGTACCCAAACCGGCTTTGCCCTATAGTCAGATAAATATCTTTTTTAAGAAACAAATTATAGGCTAAAACAATCATATTTCAATAGCTATAATTACTTAAATGTCATCACAGAACCTTCATCCAGTGGCTGATGGAAGCAGAGGCAGAAGCCTGCAGCAGAGCACTAGCCTGAGCTTCCAAAGTCCAGTTGAAGAGTGGGAGGAGCAATAATATGAGCAAAGGGGTCAAGACCTTAATGGAAACACGCACTGAAACAGTTTACCTGAGCTAACGGGAGTTCACCAACCCCAGCTGGACAGGGATGATCAGCATAGGTCCCAACTAGTGCCTCTGAATGTGGGTAACAATTGACTGCAGGCCACTGGCAGTGTCACCAGGATTTGTTCCTATTGCTTGTTCTGGATTTTGGGGACCCTGTTCTCTTTGGATGGATGCCTTGCTCAGCCTGGATATAGTGTGGAGGACTTTGGACCTTCCCCAAAGCAATGTACCTTGTCCTCTCTGAGCAGTGGGTGGTGGGTTGTGTGGGAGGATAGGTTGAGGAAATGGGAGGATGGGAGGGAGGGAGAACTGGGATTACTATGTAAAATGAAAGAAGATAGTTTGTTTTAATATCTAAGAGAAATACAATGAAAGAAATTACAAAAAGCATTTAATAAATTCAATGGAAACAAAATAATATACGTAATTCAGACTGTGTTTTTCAACCTTTTTGTGCTTTTTGATAATATTTGATAATATATCTTTAAAGACTTTGCTTTTTAACCTATTTCTTTTTATGACTATCTATACTGTTTTTTCTCTCTCTCTCCCAATCCTGTGTACATTTTTTAAACACACTGTGTCTTGCTTAGAGGTCTATTAATGTCTAAATTTGTCCTATTTATCTGAAATACTTATCTGACAAAGAGTATTTTTTAAAATGTTAAGGGGTGTGGTTCCTATGGCCCAGATGCTAGATCTGCCCCTCAGCCTTTCAATATAGCAGAGGTATGTTTGCTCTGTGAGCCCCATGTTCACCACCCAGCTCCACGAATATAGTGTGACTAAATCACCACCACTAAACAACTTGCGCATGCTGCTCACAAACCCCATTTAATTGCTCTGTAACAGAGCATCCCTAAAGACCCAGAGCCATTCCTGCCATTAGCTAGAACTAGGTATATGTCTCTTAAAGGAACAATACCTCTGTTAGTTGCCAGAAAGCATGGCCTATCTCAAAACTATGCGACTACTAAGACACTTCAGTTGACTAACACTTTTATGTGTGTAGAAGCCCTTTTGTAAGCTCTCTGGGGCTTTATGTGAATGCACTTTGCCTACTGTTGGATGCCATTATGTAATCAGATACTGATATCTGAATAATAACACAAAAAGTAACCCTTTCTATTAATCTGTGTATCTCAACAAGGCTGTGGCTTTACTGGTACTGTTCTGGTGTCTTTCTTTTTTGGCAGCTACATGGCATCTCCCTGATTCCACCTTCTTTCCTCTTCTATCTCTGATTTAAATTGCTTTAAATTTAAGATTGAGAGCCATTCCTATAACTATCAGGAACCAAGAAGCTGTCTCTCGAAGGAGAGAGCTGCCACAAAACAGAGCCTATTTAAAAAAATGTGGCTACCAAGAAGCTCCAGTTGATTCACATTTTGTGTGTCTAGAAACCCTTTTTAAAAGCTTTCTTGGGCTTTACATGGATGTACGTTGCTGAATGTTGAATGCCACTGTGTAATCAGGGTCTGCTTTTTTTGTTTTGTGCCCACACAGATACAAATAATAACACAAAAATATATTAATTACAGTACTATTTGTTCAACATCAGACATATTCCTAGCTAGCAGTTATTTCTTAAATTAACCCATCTCTATTCATCTGTGTATCTCCAATAGGCTGTGACTTACAGATATGGTTCTGGTATCTTTTTCTTTTAGAAGCAACATGGCAGCTCCCTGACTCTATCTTCTTTCCTCTTCTATCTTGTTTTTAAAATACTTCCTTACTATATTCTACACTGCCACCAGACAAAGCAAAATCTTTATTAACCAATGGTAATAAAACATATTCACGACACAGAAGGGAATCACACATCACAAATCTTAACAGACCTTGGAAAAAAACAAAAAAATCATGATAGCTAAAACCACCTGTAAAATAAAGGAACTTCTGGATGCATCACCGTCCCTGACATCAGGCTCTATTATTGAGCTACAGAAACGAATCCAACTTGGTATTGGTATAAAAACAGACAGGTGTTGGAAGGGTTTTTTTTTTTTTTTTGGTTTTTCGAGACAGGGTTTCTCTGTGGCTTTGGAGCCTGTCCTAGAACTAGCTCTGTAGATCAGGCTGGTCTCAAACTCACAGAAATCTGCCTGCCTCTGCCTCCCGAGTGCTGGGATTAAAGGAGTGCGCCACCATCACCGGGCTGGAAGGGTTTTATGTTTATTTAAAATTCAGAAGTAGTGTAAGCATTTTTATTTTAATTTTTTAAAGTCTATATGCCTTTATATTTTCATCACACACCTTTAAGGGCAACAATTGCCCATTTTTTTCATTTTTAGTTCCTCTTGTTGGATGTTGTGGAAATACTATCATAGTCTAAGATATTTGTTGTTAATAATAGCATTTTAAGAGAATTTAAGGCTTACAGAGGAACTAACAAAATGCTATACCCTTTATCTAGTCTCTCCCCATCCCTTTACGTCAGTCACGGGCACCTATAAAGACCATCTATATGGGACACACAGGACCACAACAGGCTAGGACCGGTAGGTATTTCTCACTCTTTTTCCTATTCTCCCACCCCAAACTCTCCAGTCTCATTCCCAGCCCTATAGCAGCCTGGTCGAAGGTGCCTCTCCTTCCATTCCACACCCAAACTTGGGATACTCCACCAAAACTTGGATCTTCTTCCTATAGACCTTCTCATCTGCATTCCTAAGTGCCTAGCCCATTCCCATTCCTTCCTGTCAAGTTCTAGAACCCGCAAATGCTTTCAACTAGGCTCCCAGTAGTCACACTGGTAGGGATTTGGGGGTGAACCACACTATTCATCTGCCCTCCATTATGATCTTTCCATTCTCACCACCCCAAGAACAATGTGCTTACAGGTCCCCTTAGTCTCATTTCAATTCCCTGGAGGCTCCAACTTTTGGTTCAGATACAGGGTCCCCTAATATCTCTGTCTTCCAGACAATTCTTTGGTTTACATTAGCTTAGTTCCAGAATACCCTCTTTCTACCACACTTCTTACTCCGTATCGACCCCAATCCTAGGTGTGAAGAAGATCCACTTATCTCTGAAACCCCATTCAGCCTTTCCTCCTTGCCCACATCTATCCCACTCTGCCATGCAGTCACAGGCACAAGCACTCCCTACTGAGCCACCCACAGCCACCAGACTTTGGCAAGATCCATAGAGAACAACAGAATCTGAGGAATGGAACACTCACCCAACAAAGGCAAGACCAGATATCAACACTTTTCACTTCAGTCATCCCATTCTAGATGCCTAGACACCAGCACAGAAACACAAATACCAAAATTCAAGACAGGATGCTACCTCAAAAACCCAGTAGGCAACTACAGCGGGCCCCAAGATAGATAATATAGGTGAGGAACAAATGTACTTGAAAGCAATTATGAATATGTTCAAGGTCCTTAAATAGTAAGAGAGTAAATTCTTAATTGGAATCTGAAAACAAAAGGAGTAGAATGAATAAAATGATAATAATCCTATCATAAAAGAAGCCTTTAACACAGCAAAAACAAACAAACAAACAAACAAAGAACAGAATCACTAAAGAAAAGCCAAACTCATCTGGCAGTGGTGGTGCAGGCATTTAATCTCAGCACTCAGGATACAGAGTTAGGCAGATCTCTGTGAGTTCAAAGTCAGCCAGGTTTACAAGAGTTAGTTCCAGGACATACTCAAAAACTACAGTGAAATCCTGTCTTGAACAATTCCAAAAATCAAAAAAAACAAAAGAGAGAGAGAGAGAGAGAGAGAGAGAGAGAGAGAGAGAGAGAGAGAAGAGAGAAAGAAAGAAAGAGAGAGAGAGAGAAAAAGAAAAGACATACTGAGATAAAACTGGAAATAAAAAGTAGTTTAGGAAGAGAAGGATCAAAACCTCAGAGGTAAGCCTCAACATTAGAATACTAGACTTGGAAGAGAGAATCTCAAAAGTTGAAGATTAGGTAGAAGAATGGATATTAAAGACATAGAAAATGTTAAATCTAAAAAATTCCTGACACAAAGCATCCTGGAAATATGGGACACCTTGAAGAGTCTAAATGTAGGAACACTTGGGATAAAAGGAGAAGAACCTCAGGCAAAATTAGAGGAAATATTTTCAACAAAACCGTTAAAGAAAAATTCCCTAACCTAAAGGAGGAGATGCCTTTCAAAGCATAACAAACACACAGAACACCAAATAGATAGGAACGTAAAAAATTCTCCGTGACACATGATAATTAAAAACTAAATGTAGAGAACAAAGGAAGAATATTAAAAGCTGTAATGGGGATAGAGCAAGTAACATATAAAGGCAGACCCATTAGGGTAACACCTGACTTCTGGGAAGAGTGAAGGTTGGCAAGATCCAGAGGTAGAAACAGAGACTTCTCTGAAGAAGGATCTTGTGGGAGGAAGTTCAGGATTTTGTGCAGGTGGGCTAGCCTCCCAGCCCAATGCAATGAGACAGGTAGACACGCTAGACAGGAGTGGCACACAAGGGCTATCCCTATGAAGGATTCCAAGCTTTGGAAATACCAGTAAAGTTGTAAAATAGGACGAGCTCTGGAGATATCCATGCATGGATGTGGGGTTGTGTTTCTACTTTTCATGAGTGAGTGTGATCAAGATCTGATGCCTCCCTCTCTGAAGCTATGGAGTGAGTTTAGTACATGTAACTGGGTTTATATAGGTGTGTTAAAATATTAACACATTTGTCTTCAGAGATCATAACTAAATGGGGTGCCAGCAGTTCTTTATGGCCAAAGTGATGGATAGGAAAGAATCAAATGTAAAGGGAACAAACTGGTCCCCAGTAACTGAAACCTGGAATTAAATAGCCCCATGTAAAACATCCCCTTGGCAGCTCCAGGACTTCAACAAGGGGAACTCCTGTATAGACAAGCAAAGGGAAGAGCCAACACTTGGCTACCCTGTCCTACAAAGCAAGGAGAGTCCAAGGTTATATTCAGATCAGTTCTCATTTATTTTATGTGAGAAGGGAGCCACCAAGGTATCCCAAGTACAGCTCTTCTTAGCTGTACTTCAGACAGACTCACCTGAGTCTATGATGAGTGTTCATTCTACCACGTCCCAGAGGGGTAACCAACAGGGGTTCCTACACATGAATTATGTGTAATGTCAGGTTTTTTTTTTAAATAGACTGGACGTACTATTGCTAAGGACTTGTTGCTCTGTGTGTTCTGCAGGAGCCCATCAAATGTCTTGAGAACTTGCTTGTCTAGAGCTTCTGTTAGAAGCTTCCCCTCAGTTGTCTTCTGAGCCCTCTCTCCTATTTTGGGTGGGATAGGAGATACTCTAACAACAACTGCCTCTAAAATAAAGATTTAAACATTGGCCCATTGTGCCTTCTGATCATCAGGAGTCAAAGCCTCCTGTATTCTGTGCCATACCAGAGATGGTGTGGGCTGGCCAGCTCCAAGGGGTAGAGGACAGTCCAGATGCACAGCTGTAAACCCCACTCAAGTTATTGACCCTATAGCTCCTTCTTCTACTGGTAAATGAAGAAGTGTGATCATCACACCAATACAACCACCAAG